CAAAGCTGAGTGAAATGGAGTAAAGATAGATATGTCCAACAAAATATAAAATTGCAGAGAAGTTAAAAACCCCCAGTGACGGTGTGAGTGTGGGAGAAATGCCTCAAGCCCCGCATGACTTGATCCGCCAGGTCCAGATCTGTACCCGGTCGGCGGCGGGCCTCACCGACTACAACCCGTCCGACCCGACCCTTCCCGCCTTGCCACCTCTCTCCGCCGCAATAGCCGCCTCCGCCCCATCGCCGTCGAAGCTCCTCCGCTGCAAGAACTGTAAAGGAGCTCTCCTCCGAGGATCCGACTCCATCATCTGCCTGTACTGCGGCCTTGCCCCCCAAAACGACGCCGTCCGGGATCCCATCACCTTCACTTCCACCGTTGGGTCTCGGTGGTTGCTCCGCTCCCTACGTCTCGATGGATCGGTGAGGTTTTATTGATCGATTTTCTGCAATTTGGAGCTGATTCATTGGATCAATGATCCCCTTTTTTTATAAAGATTGTTTTTTTATTTGTTTTGTTGCATTTTAGTGGTGATCTAGCTTGTAATTTGCTTGGGCTTGAACTTTGAAGTGTGGATTTCTAGAAGAGTGTGGATTTCTAGAAGAGAAAGTTGCGTATATGATGGTGAATATATGTGTTCTGTGTGATATCACCAGTCATGGAAAGTGAAGGATGTAAAATTAGTAACTCGATGAGTTTCACTCTGAGTCTCGACTGACTGTGAAAGTAGGGAGGCATCTGAGAATTATGCCAGGACGCTTGGCCTAGGAAAAGCATTATGATTCAGTAATCTTGTTGTAGGTTTCTAATTATCCGTCATTTTAGATGACAATGGGAAACCTTTAAAATCGAAATCACCTTGCAGGAAATGGTGGATCCTAAAGACAAAAGTGAGCAAAGCCAAGGCTACAACTCTCCCAAATCCTTAATCCCCTTGTCCGAATTCTTAAATTTTAAGATATCATGGCCGGTTGAGACAGAGAAGCAGCAAGAAACTGTTTTTCAGGAGAAGAATTTAGAACAAAGTGAAGGATCCTTGAGAACTGGCGTGCCTCCAGACAAGTTCTTTCTGAATGCAAAGAAAAATATCGTCTCTGATGTGTCTGCTGAGCAGCCATTTACGCTTAACCATGTTGGAGCTTCTGATGATGGGAAAAATGTTGCGGCTTTTGGCCATCGAAACTTATTTCAAGATGTTAAGTCATCTGAAGCTTTTTCTGGGTGGGAGGCAGATTTCCAATCTGCGGATTCTGAAAAACAATCTGAATTTCGAGATGCCTCGATTGACTCCAAAAATAATGTCACAGATCCCAAATCCTTTGACCTGTCAACAGGTTTGGGGGTTAATCTTGCTTCTCACATTGACTCTGTTTTCGGGTCTAAAGATCCAAATGATGGAAAACGTGAAGAAAAAAATCAGGCAGTTTCTCCAGCTTTTGATGACTGGAATTCGGATGATGTGTGGAATAATCTTAGCTCTAGTACATCTCACGTTTCTGGTGGTGTTGATCCGCCTGTAAAAATTACAAACGAGCTCGAGATTGATCACAGCTTTGATTTATTTCAAGATTTTCAATCACAAACCAACAATGCGGATAAAACCGATAATAATAAGATTACGAGTGATGAACATAAGATAATGGATGAGAATGTGTTTGGCGAGTGGAATGATTTTACGGGTTCTTCAGAGATGGACATATTTAGTTTCGATGATAGGTCTGCAAAGTCCAATTTTGGTAGCTTTTCCCAACCGGATCTCTTTTCTACCTCAACCAGCAATAACAATACCCATACTGAAGTCGATGCTCTTACATCAGAGACTCCTACTTCAGACTGGTGCGTGCATATTATTCTCCTTAATGCATATTATTCACCGTTAGAACTTTGAAGCTTTTAAATATGAACTTTTGTGTACTACATGATGGACATTTTTCTCCTTACAGTCTTTCATCGAATTACTAGCTTTCTATCTCTACTTGCGTGATCCTTAGTTGAGCTAATGTTCATTTCTTTGTTGTGTATGAGGAAATTATTATCTTCACCATTTTTGGTGTACTGCTGTAAAACTTGGGATGGAAATATAAAGAAGAAAGGAAAAGAGAATGAACAAGAAACAGAACAATTTTTTGGTGCACTGCAAAGTTTATACTCTTCGAATGTGAGGTTTGTCCACCTTCCTGACACATTTATTATGGCATTTGTAGGTTATTCGATTCTAGCAGCCCGTCTCATGAATCTGGACAAGCAACAAATAATGGAGATTCTTTCGGAAATTCTGCCGAGGATGATGTGAAGATGCTGATTTCCCAAATGCACGATCTGTCTTTTATGCTAGATTCTAATCTCTCTATCCCTTCAGGTCCAGATGCCCCTAATTCATGATAATCAAATTGAGATGCTGTAATTTTTATTTATCTTTTCCCTTTTCTACTGTTGTGCTTTATCATGTAACTTTTTTAGTTGTGGCACATTTTATTTTCTCTTCTCGTGCCCCATTGAGCAGTTTCCCCTTTTTGTTATTTGTGGCAAGATGAGCTGTAGGAAAGGTTGGATCCTATTGGTGAGGGTACTCTGGACCGTCGGATCACACACACATTCATTGTTATGTGTTGATCTGACGGTTAGGGTTCATTCCATATGATGATATAATCACTTTACTATCTTATTATATAATATATATTGTTTTATCACATTAAAATAAGTAAATAACAAAAGAACTTTGCACCAAGTTTATAATTATTGTGAACCACAAGGGTGGCAAAACTCTTGAGGGAGAGCTTTGCCACCCTTGTGGTCCTACCCGACTCGATTTCGGATTAGTTGATTCCCCTGTGGATCCGGAAACCGGAAGGTCCCTGTACCAAAAAAAAGAATTATTGTGAACATAGAAAGACTATTAATTACAAAACTAATCCAAACACTATCTCAACATTGATCACAATTCAAAGGTTTATAATACAGGATTGAGGTTTTGACTCGGTCAATAGGCATCCATCTACCCTATTAATGATAAAGGGCTGCTCAAGACCAATTCATGTCTTTAGAAAATATGTTACTTTATGGACAATGCTTCTTTTAAAACTTTAAATTAAGTCAACATCCCAACCACGGTTTAATTGCTGGATGATTTAGCTTTATTCAGTGCATTCGGTTTACGAGTCCCACAAAAATTAAACTAACAAAACCATAATTAATTTAGAAGAGATTGTTAAACTATACTTCAAGTTGTCAAGTGAAAGGAGCCGCGAGCTGAGCTCGGCTCGTTTGATATATTAGTTGAGCTTAGGACTGTAAACAAGCCGAGTCAAGCTTAAACGAGTCAGAAATCAAGATCAAGCTCGGCTCGTTAAGGCTTGATGGAGCCTTAACAAGCCAATATCGAGTTTTAACGAGTCGAAATATAAAAAATTATATAAAAATTCTCTTTTCGAGCCTTATCAAACCTAACCGAGCTAGGCTCGTTAACCAAATAAGCTTTAAATGAGCTCGAGCTCAGCTCGTTAGGGCATCAAGCTCGAGCCTGACACGAGTCGAGCCAGACTCGTTTAATTTAATAGCACTAGTTGAGCTTGAGCTCGTTTAAAACTCAATTCGTTAACGAGTCGGGCTCCACTAGGCTTGCTAAAGCTTGAAATAAAGAAAATTTATATAACTTTCTATACCTTGGTTCTTAAGGGGCAAGTTTGACTTGTTAAGGCTCGGGCTCTGCTCGTTAACGATTAGCTTGGTTTGACTAATTTGCTCCCTTAGCTATGCTATCTAGCTCTCAAAAAGCTGAAATAACTTAATAATTTAGATTAAACAACAATTGCTCAATTAATGCTCTACAAACTTTGTGCATTAATGTGACAAGATCCACGATCAAGTCATGCATGCAAGATTTTTTATGAACCCCATCTCACTATCACTGTGTGATCTCTATCTATCTCTCTCTTGAGTGTGTGTCGGTAGGATTAAGGGAAGTTGCCCAACAGTTGTGCGGTGCAGTCATAAGCCATTAGGTTTTGCACAGTTTGATATTTATGTGTTGATTTAACGGTGAAAAATTCGAAAAATTGTACTGCAGTTGTGTGTAGGGTCGAATTAATCTCCCCCAACTCTGATCGTATTTTGACTTTAGAAGTCCAAGTTGTGTCATTTAATGCTCCGGCTAACTCCCCATCCGCTCAAACGCGTCACATAATTATAACCATGCAAATTAATTGCCTAAGCAGAGACAAATTAAAATTAAAATTCAAAAAAAATCTAAAAAACTATCCATTATTGGCCAGTTGCTGAAGCCTATATAATGAACGTCTCTTGGCCAACGAGGATATCATCATCACTAGCAAAATAGTAAAAACTTATTGTGAGAATCAAAATGGGGTCTCTCTCCTCTCATAAATGGCTTTGTGAATTGGTCCTTATTTTTGTCGT